GAGTACAGTGAGAGTACAGTGAGAGTGAGAGTACAGTGAGAGTAAACGTTGACAGCATGAAGCTACTGCTTTATTGATTGTGCTGTGAACACATACAGAGATCAGAATGAGAAGGAGAGAGTGGCTCACTTTAGTCTGGACGCCAGACGCTTCAGAGACAGGAGCCGGTCCTGATTCTGAGCCAAGCACAGAGAGCCGGTCCGAACAAAACCTGCAACACAGACCATTACCTTATTAAATTAAGCACACGCTGTCTTTGATAATCAGCGCTCTGCTGTGGAGTGATGGTGATTTCTCACCTGTTTTAACACTCGTCTCCTCTTCCAAACGCTCGTAGAGTGCGATCGAATAATCTGCCATCTTACTCTCAACAGAGAGAGGTTTGGCAACGCTTACTATTCCCGCGCAAAACCGAGTTGTGCCGGCTCCAAGTCTACAAAAGACACAAACAAACAGGTGAATCCCACTGAAGCAGAGCTTTACACGGACTCAGATATTACAGATGAGAGGAATGTGATGTGAATCTCAGAGAGATGTGTCACCTGCCCTGCTCCAGCAGCACGATCTCCGTCCAGCCCAGCTTGGCCAGATGATACGCCACCGACGTGCCCACGATGCCTCCTCCACAGATCACCACACGGGCGCGAGCAGGCAGAGCCGCGGACACAGAGTCTGTGCTTAAGAACCGCACCGATCCGTGCAGACGAGCAGCACGGGCCCTGGGGCCACAGAGCCAGCGGGGCAGAAGAACCGGGGCCAGAGCCCGGATACTGCAGACACCGCCGCGCATGACTGCGCCGCTGCTGAAACCAGCACAAACCCTGAGATATAACACACACAACACACACACACACACACACTGAAATAACACACACAACACTAAACAACGCACACACTGAAATCACTCGGCTCTCGGATCTTCTCTTTCTTGCCATGTCAGCATCTATGGCTATTTTCATTAGGGCTGGGTAAAAAAATATAGATATCTCGATATTAATCGATTCTCATTTTTATGGAACGATATCGATTCTTAAATCCCAAGAATCGATTAGTCTAGCCTGTTTCAGTTAATGGACGGAACACTGAAGGGCACTTCCCACCCAATAAATCGCAATAAGCATTGTGCTTCTCAGATTTCAAATTCCGTCCATTGTATTGCAGTATTGAAACAATAAACGCTGTTTTGGCGCAGTTTAATGTGGAGTGACAGATCGCTGTAGCGCCTCAGATCAACAGACGTGAACTGATCATCTCCTCCACATTAATACCAGCTTCTGCACAAAATAAACATGACTAAACATCCGAAGGCAAGTTAAAATAAAGAATACAACTTTACAATCCATATTCTGTCTCATGTAATCTCTCAATCAGTGTTTCCTCCGGCTTATATATATAACGGCTTCTAAACAATGTCAGTAACGCCACATGTACCGCAGAAAAACCATATCCGGTGACCATAAACTCATTAATCAGATAGAAAAATAAACTGTAGAGAGGGGCATTTTGCTTAATATATGCACCATATAACATATTCATTATCATTTTTACTGTTCTTCAATGTTTAATTTATGTTTGAATAAATCCATAGTAACTCCATAAATCTGAAGTAGGAATATTATTGTAAAAACTGTTATGTATATTTTACAGCATTAGTTGGCATGTACTGTACCTGATATATATCCAAAACAATCGATACTGAAATTTGTGTCAAAACCCAGCCCTAATTTTCATGGCGAAATCCAATATAATAGTAAAATAAAAACTATATTTACTCATCCAAGATGTCTGTATATTACTCTCTTTCTACAGGCAAAAAGAAATGAATGTTTTGAAGGAAAACCTTTCAGGATTTTTCTCCATCTAATGCAAGTGAATGGGGCTCACCGTCCAGCATTATTATTTAGGCGGGTTTAAAGTAATCCAACATGCCCCTAACAGAGGAATGAGGGTCTTCTCTAGCGAATAGACCAGCCGTTTTCAGAAAAACACAAATGAAACGATACACATGTTAACTGCAGCGGTGCTGGATCTGGTGTAGTCCTCTTGTGATGATGATGATCAGGAGATGCTCTCTTCTGTAACCCTCTCAAGCGAACACCAGCTGTTATCAGGGCTTGTACATCACAGCCACAGGCCGTGTGACCCGAGCACAGCACGCTTTCTGACACCAGCTCCAGCAGCTGTGCTCACGAGCCGCACACTCGCACCAGCACCAGCTCCAGCTCCAGCACCAGCACCAGCTCCAGCTCCAGCTCCAGCACCAGCACCAGCACCAGCACCAGCTCCAGCACCAGCACCAGCACCAGCACCAGCACCAGCACCAGCTCCAGCACCAGCTCCAGCTCCAGCACCAGCACCAGCTCCAGCACCAGCACCAGCTCCAGCACCAGCACCAGCACCAGCTCCAGCTCCAGCACCAGCACCAGCACCAGCTCCAGCTCCAGCTCCAGCACCAGCACCAGCTCCAGCACCAGCTCCAGCACCAGCACCAGCAGCTGTGCTCACGAGCCGCACACTCGCACCAGCACCAGCACCAGCTCCAGCTCCAGCACCAGCACCAGCTCCAGCACCAGCACCAGCTCCAGCACCAGCACCAGCACAAGCCTTGCTGTTACACCGATTTATGATTATTATGTTCTGTTCGTGTGTGAAACTAATACGAGCTCTGACGAATTCATGAACACAACCACACGAGCGACGAGCTATTACTGTCCGATTAATATTAGTATGAACAAGCATGTGTCCGCGGTCGCTGTTTATCGCCTTCTGTGCTCATATCTCGCCGTTTAGTGACATGTAGCCGTTAGCTCGAGGCCTCAGAGGGCATCCGTGACTAAAACACGGCCAAACGCGTTTATTTTCCCCTCGAAACGTCCTGACAGCCACGTGTGTCCTGAGATAAGGTGCTGAACGACTCGTTTAAACGGAACCGGATTCTGCTGAACGCCAAACGGAGGATTTGGAGTCAAACTCAACAGAAGCACCAGCAACACGAGCCGCTCGATGCAGAGCAACACGCGCGCAAACATTAATGCTGAGAGCAGCACGGACACATACCTGCACACAGCTGTTATGAGCGCCAGATCCGATCAGAAATATGGATCTGATGTGTGCTATAAGAGCCCAGAGTGACTTTACTGCAGCCGCAGATCTGCGGAGCCCGAGTCGCTTACTGCGCATGCGCGGAACAACCCGCCGAATGATTGACAGCTACGAGCTTCGCTCACGTTATCACGTCGCGTCAGTTTAATTTTCTTTGAAAGTTCTTCATGTTATCATGCCGACTCGCTAGTGAGGATAAACTAGTCTGTTAGCACCGGATCAGCGCTAGTGAGGATAAACTAGTCTGTTAGCACCGGATCAGCGCTAGTGAGGATAAACTAGTCTGTTAGCACTGGATCAGCACTAGTGAGGATAAACTAGTATGTTAGCACTAGATCAGCACTAGTGAGGAGTGTTGAGTTAGTGGTTCAGTAACCCCGCTCTGCACGTTCTGTGTCTCTTATCGAGCTGCGGATCTGAATCAGGTGTGTAAGTAAAAGAAACACGAATGTGCAGAGCGGTGGGACTGAAAACCACTGAGTTAGAGCGAGACTAGTTAAACCGGTGTGCCGTGTTCATGTCAGTGCTGATGTCTGTCTGCAGGTCACTTCACTTCTGCGGAGGATCTGAACCTGCTGATCGCCAAGAACACGCGTCTGGAGATCTATGTGGTCACTGCGGAGGGTCTGCGGCCGGTCAAAGAGGTCGGCATGTACGGCAAGATCGCGGTCATGGAGCTCTTCAGACCCAAGGTGTGTCCGTCTGTAGTGATGGACTGATGCGTTAACTGCTTAGACTAGTCTTAAAAAGTTTATTTTCTTCAAGAGTGGTCATAACTTTTTTAATTCGGTTACAAAAAGGGCGATTGGTCTAATTTGAATCTCAGAAGGATGACCAATTATCCCTTATCTACTGCTAGTTAGTGAAACTAGTTCTTAAAGGAGTAGTTCACTTCCAGAATAAAATCTCCCGATAATTCACGCTCCCCCATGTCATCCGAGATGTACATGTCTTTCTGTCTTCAGTCAAAGAAATCAAGGTTTCTGAGGAAAAAATTCCAGGATTTTTCTCCATATTGTGATTACATCATGCGTGAAGTCCAGCTAGTGCAAGACCACAGCATCTGTGGTTAAAAACTATATAAATGTTTATTTTTTTTTAGAAAATGAGCAATGGTTTCTCTAGATAAGACTTATTCCTCGGCTGGGATCGTGTAGAGTTCTTTGAAGCTGCACTGATTTGATCTTCAGCCCGTTGGTCCCCATCAAAGTCCGTTATATGGAGAAAAATCCTGGAATGTTTTCCTCAGAAACCTTGATTTCTTTGACTGAAGACAGAAAGACATGTACAATCTCGGATGACATGGGGGAGAGTGAATTATCGGGAGATTTTATTCTGGAAGTGAACTACTCCTTTAAGACCCAGTCTTAAAATAGTGTCTGTGTTTATGCAACTGGCCCCAGATGATCTGCGTCGGTGGAGAACTGAGAATCAGAAGCAGCAGCTCTCTACTCTAAATCTACAACCGGCTGTCTGCAAATATACTATATTAACTCTATTTCATTTCAGTGCTTATGTGAACATCTGATCTGATTTAAAAATTTTTATTGATTTTTAAAATTGATTTAAAATGCTGAATCTTTAAATTGATTTCCATGGCTGTTTCACCATTATAAGAGCTTTTTTCTCTAACTTTGTGTTGCAGAAGCTGCATCTAAAGCAGTGTTTAGATGTTTACACAGACTTGTTAATGCAGTGTAAATGCATTAATGCCACCTTTGAGCTGCAATTACAATTGTAGAAATAATTCTTTTGAGTTTGTTTTTTAAATGATGATTTAAATATGAAGCTAAAACCTCCAGTAGGTGGCGGTGTTCCATCACACAGTAAAAGTGTGCACTATTAATGTGTGTTTTTGTTTGCTTTTTGCAAAGTGAGTGACTTATTGGATATTGTCAGTGTTAAAACAACAATTATGATATATTCATAGATGATGAATATCTGACATCCCTCATATCAGTGCAGAAACACCTAGATGTTTACACAGACTTGTTAATGCAGTGTAAATGCATTAATGCCACCTTTGAGCTGCAATTACAATTGTAGAAATAATTCTTTTGAGTTTGTTTTTTAAATGATGATTTAAATATGAAGCTAAAACCTCCAGTAGGTGGCGGTGTTCCATCACACAGTAAAAGTGTGCACTATTAAAGTGTGTTTTTGTTTGCTTTTTGCAAAGTGAGTGACTTATTGGATATTGTCAGTGTTAAAACAACAATTATGATATATTCATAGATGATGAATATCTGACATCCCTCATATCAGTGCAGAAACACCATTAGAGTCGAGTGTAGGCATAAGCCACTGAGAAACGCGCGTCGATCGATGCTGTTTGTCATGCAGCTCTGTGAGAGCACTTGAATTACTCGTGCAGATTTCTGCAGCATGTCAACACTTGGACGAACAGACTTCTGCATTTGCATAATGTTATTAAAAGCTGTCTGTTTGCTTTATGTGCAGGGTGAGAGCAAAGATCTTCTGTTCATTCTGACCGCTAAATACAACGCCTGTATCCTGGAGTACAAGCAGAACGGAGACAGCATCGACATCATCACCCGCGCTCACGGAAACGTGCAGGTAAGACCGTAACCCACACACCTGTCCAAACACACTGCATCATACGGCCTCGGCCTCGTCTGACCGCTGCGTCTGTGTCAGGATCGGATCGGCCGTCCGTCTGAGACCGGGATCATTGGGATCGTGGATCCAGAGTGTCGTATGATCGGCTTGCGGCTATACGACGGGCTGTTTAAGGTCATTCCTTTGGACCGTGATAACCGCGAGCTCAAAGCTTTCAACATCCGTCTGGAGGAGCTGCAGGTCATAGACGTCCAGTTCCTGTACGGCTGCCAGGCGCCCACCGTCTGCTTCATATATCAGGTATGGATCTTCCTGCGCGATGTGTGTGAGAGCGAGTGTCCCGTCTGCTCATGCAGCTGTGTGTGTCCAGGATCCTCAGGGTCGGCACGTCAAGACATATGAGGTTTCTCTCAGAGAGAAGGAGTTCAACAAAGGACCCTGGAAGCAGGAGAACGTGGAAGCTGAAGCATCGATGGTCATTCCAGGTGAGGTGATGCTTCACAGACGACTTTTCAGATCTGTTGAACACGGGCTGCTCGAGCAGAAACCCACATCATTACAAATACTGTATAATAACTTGCATTCGCAGGGCTCTACAGTGCGACCATTTCAGTTGCATTTGCGACTGAAAACTACTGCGTGCGACTATGAAATAATATTTAGGAGCACCTGTGCGACTGACCCGGTCAGCATATTTGTGTTTGCGCTGAGGGAGCTTCAAAGGTTCTAATATACGTACGTGTTTCTGCAGCGTTGAGTAATGCATCACAGACATATCCTCTCATTATAACAAACACAGTGTTGACGGGGTGTAAATAAGATATTCATTGTGCAGTGTAGAGAGCTTCGTCGATTATAATGGAGTTTTGTCAGATCGGGATGAACTAAGATGAGTGACACAGTTTGCAAATGTGATATTGATTTAAAGCATCTTTTCTGTTATTTAAATCATTTCTATATTCAAAATGTTATATTTAAAACATTAACCTCAACATGAATTTATGAATTTAATTGCGCTCATGCGACCTCTGAACCTCATTAAACGTCTGAAAATACACCTACAAGCCACTTGTGTGTTCTTCTGTGCCAACTCTGTAGCAAAGATTTATTTCTTAAATACTGATTTCATTTGATTGGTAACTTATTCTTATTCTACTTCTTATTCTACTTGTTTTTATTTCTATTGTTTTAATTAGAAATGTTAAAAAGCTTATAAATATATTTTTTTGATTTTTACATAAAAGATGACATACTTTTAATAAAGTTAGAAAAATGCCATTACAAAGGTAAAAACAAAATTCCCTATAAATCACTTTAAGGAGTCAACTATCACCTCGTAATGGGAAGGTTAATTTTTTTTGTCAGAATTTTTGATTACTGATTAGAAGATGCTCCTAAATTTTTGACCGTGCTCCTAAATTATTTAAATTTGAAGCACAAGCGCTCCTAAAAAGAAAAGTATCCGTAGAGCCCTGATTCGGAAATAAGCATTATGCTAAACAGAATTGAGCTAGTTTTATAAATCATGTTGTTGCAGAGTTTCTGAACCATGTAAATGTTCTTCACACGCAGCATCTCTTGAAGCTACCATTGACAGCACGAGTATTTCTTGTAAAAATGCATTTCAACAAACATGTCTGATCATAAAGTAAACGGTGTTTTCTCATTTGTTAATCAACCAGTCAAGCATTAAGTTATAAATGACTGTTTTGCATAGTTTATTTTGTTAAAAAGATTTGTACAGCCCAAACGGATCCAAATACCATTTTAAGGCTCTTACACTTAACTCTGTCATAACAGGTTATGTCTATTACATTTTTATTTAATTGTTTGTTAAATTCATTCTTACAGGCTTTGTTCACCCAAACTTAATTGTTGTCATTCATGTTCATGAAGTTGACTGACTGTTATAGACATGCTGGTTTATGAGTCATTGGTGTGAAATGTTGTGTGTTCACATATATTCAGTCCCAGAGCCGTTTGGAGGAGCTATAATCATCGGACAGGAGTCCATCACTTATCACAACGGAGACAAATACTTAGCCATCGCTCCTCCAACTATCAAGGTGAACACATCTGCTGATGTCCTCCTGTCCGTTTCAAGCTGTCGTTTGTATTCTCATGTACTCCGTGATTAAAGCGTGTTTCAAACATCACAGCAAAGCACCATCGTGTGTCATAACCGCGTGGATCCGAACGGCTCGCGGTACCTGCTGGGAGACATGGAGGGCCGACTCTTCATGCTGCTGCTGGAGAAAGAGGAGCTGATGGACGGAGCTGTGGTGCTCAAAGACCTGCATGTGGAGCTGCTGGGAGAGGTGCGTCAGAGCAGCCCAACCCTGCTACACTACACTGTACTACACTGCACTGCGCTACACTACACTGCAGTACACTGCACTACACTACACTGCACTACATTACTCTGCACTACATTACACTGCACTGCGCTACACTACACTGCAGTACACTACCCTACGCTACACTGCAGTACACTACCCTACGCTACACTGCAGTACACTACCCTACGCTACACTGCAGTACACTACCCTACGCTACACTGCAGTACACTACCCTACGCTACACTGCAGTACACTACCCTACGCTACACTGCAGTACACTACCCTACGCTACACTGCAGTACACTACCCTACGCTACACTGCAGTACACTACCCTACGCTACACTGCAGTACACTACCCTACGCTACACTGCAGTACACTACCCTACGCTACACTGCAGTACACTACCCTACGCTACACTGCAGTACACTACCCTACGCTACACTGCAGTACACTACCCTACGCTACACTGCAGTACACTACACTACGCTACACTGCAGTACACTACGCTACACTGCAGTACACTACGCTACACTGCACTGCACGACACTGCGCTACACTGCAGTACACTACGCTACACTGCACTACACTACACTGCACTACATTACTCTGCACTACATTACACTGCCCTGCTCTACGCTACACTGCACTGCAGTACACTACACTATGCTACACTGCAGTACGCTACGCTACACTGCACTGCAGTACACTACACTATGCTACACTGCAGTACGCTACGCTACACTGCACTGCAGTACACTACACTATGCTACACTGCAGTACGCTACGCTACACTGCACTGCAGTACACTAGACTACGCTACACTGCAGTACACTAGACTACACTACACTGCACTGCAGTACACTACACTACACTGCAGGCCGATAGTGGACATGTGTGTGGTGGACCTGGAGAGACAAGGACAGGGTCAGGTGAGGGACGTCTGTGCATCACTGCGGTCCTGAAGAGCCCTGATCCAGATTCAGTGTGTGTCATCAGTTGCTGTGTGTGTTCCTGCAGCTGGTGACGTGCTCCGGAGCGTTTAAGGAAGGCTCTCTGAGGATAATTCGGAATGGTATTGGGATCCATGAGCACGCCAGCATCGACCTGCCCGGCATCAAAGGTGTGGTTAAGTGCTCTTCATGTTAATCACTAGCCGCTTACATGCTGTGAATGCACAGTATATTTGTGCTCATTTCCTTTTCCTGCTGTACTGTACTGCTGATGCTTCAGCCGTGTAAATTGTTAAATTAAGGAACACTCATTTCTTTAAAAATATAGAACAGCATAGCAGTTATTAGCATCATCCAAAATGTCTGTGAGTTTTATGTATTATTGGGACTTTTAATTTAGTTAATCCAGTGCAATAAAAAAATTCATCTAATTTAAAACCTCATTGCATCGCTTTTCACCTTCAGTAATCCATTTCATCACACCCGCTGTCAGACGCCTGATGAGAGCTTACTGTCAGATCAAATTCACAGATTGATCGCCAGTTAATGACTGTCATTTTTTTTGCCCTTTTGAGTGTTTTGCCGTCTTAGGTGGAGCCGATGCACAGCTGACTGATAATGATTTTTGTCATGTAACTTTGTACTATTCAGCTTGGCTTCTCTGTCACAAATATCAGAATAAATGAGTGGTTCTGCCACTGCCGGTTGCAGCTGATTTACGGCATACATATGCGTTTGACAAAAGTCAATATTGCTTCCTTTCTTTCTTTTATAGGCAGGGTTCTGACACAAACTTACGCTGATATTGTGTGTGTGTTTGTCAGGTCTGTGGCCTCTCCGCTCAGAGTCGAGCAGAGACACTGATGACATGCTGGTTCTGTCTTTTGTGGGTCAGACCAGGTGAGAAGAGCATTTAGTTTACTTCAGACTAGAGCTGACATATACCTCACTTACTCATTCCTGCCATCTGTGTCTCTGTCTCTCTCTCTCTCTCTCTCTGTGTGTGTGTGTGTAGGGTGCTGATGCTGAGTGGAGAGGAGGTGGAGGAGACGGAGCTGCCGGGGTTTGTGGATAATCAGCAGACGTTCTTCTGTGGGAATGTAGTGCATCAGCAGCTCATACAGGTGCGCATACACACACCTGAGCTGTACTTCACTGTGGTCATGTCAAAATGCCTGTGATCACGCGTGTTTGTGTTCAGATCACGTCGGTGTCTGTGAGGCTGGTCACGCAGGACAGCAAGGCTCTGGTGAGCGAGTGGAAGGAGCCTCAGGGCAGGAACATCAGTGTGGCGTCCTGCAACAGCTCTCAGGTGGTTCTGGCTGTGGGTCGAGTGCTGTATTACCTTCAGATACTCACAGGAGAACTCAAACAGATCAGGTACTCACACTAACACACTAACACACACTCACACTCACACAGACACTCTCTCACACTCACACAGACACTCTCTCACACTCACACTCACACACACTCACACACTCACACACACTCTCTCACACACACACACACTCACACACACACTTGAACAAATGGATTCTGTGAATGATTCAGTGACTCTAGTACAGACGGTCATTTGTCGCTCCCTACTGGTCTAATGATGCTAAATCCCCAGCACTGACGCATAGACTCACAGTGAAACAGTCCTTATAGATCAGCACTTCTGTAATGCTGCTCGAACAATCAAACGAGGACCAGAACTCATTGTGTGATATAAACCCGAAGTGTCAGTGCCAGAGTTTTCATCAGGGTTGGAGCTAAATAGCCGTGTGTGTGTGTGATGAGTGTGTGAGAGGGTGTGTGATGGGTGTGTGTGTGTGTGTGTGTGTGCGCTGTAGTGAGTGTGAGTGTGTGTGTGTGTACCGTGATATGACTGATGACGGTGGTGTTTGATGTGTGCAGCTCTACAGAGATGGAGCATGAGGTGGCGTGTCTGGACATCACTCCTCTGGGTGAGAGCGTGGGAGAATCCAGCATCTGTGCTGTGGGACTCTGGACCGACATCTCAGCTCGCATGCTGAAGTTACCCTGCTTCAGCCCGCTGCACAAAGAAATGCTGGGCGGAGGTGAGACACACACACACACAGACACTCGTGTTCATGACACTAGAACAGTGGTTCTCAACCTTTTTTTTCCACCGGGTCGCACTATGGTCCAAGTGCAAGTCTCGTGGGCCGCACACATATAATTTACATATTAGCCCGTCAGCAATACAAACCAACCTGATTTATAATATTATATCCTAAATATTATGATATTTAATCGATTACATTCATTATATAATATTCAACCTTTTTTTCCACCGGGCTGCACTATGGTCCAAGTCCACTGGCAGACGAGCCACGAGTGCTTTTTTATATGTTCTACATTTCATGTATTTATGTAACACGTATTCTACATTAAAAAATTTATTTAGAATGAACAATAACTGCTGTACACAGAGTAAAAATAAAAATAAAATAAAAACCTACCTAATGCAGAAAAGCTGCCTCTTTTTCTGAACTGCGCAGATGACCACTATCTATCTTCCTTCTCTTCTGATCAATTTTCAGTCAAATCGTTTTCTGTGTGCTAGATCAGAGCTAGAGCCCTGCATTTCAGCCCAGGCCCGACGGGCCCCGACTTTTTTACGCCTCTCGGACCGGGCTTCAGGACAATTTTCACGTCATAGTTCAGACACGGGCAGGGCCTCGAGCCTGTTTTAGGCTTCTCCTTATTTTTATATTTTAGACATCCATCAATTAGTGTTGAAAAAATATTGCCGCGCTGGTGGAAACAGCATGAGACCGTGCTGCCGTGACTGTCAAGAGCGGCTGGATGGTGTTTAGTGTCCAGCAGCAGCAGTATGTGTGGTGCGTGCCGTCAGCTCCGCTGAAGAGTTCTGCGTTCAAATGCACGCAATAGGCTTAAGCTTGCCGCAAAGCATCGGCAAAAGTAATTACCATAAATGCGTCAGGGGGAAACAGTAAGGAGATATTTGAATTATTTACTAATAAACTAGTGTTTTCTGAGTCGGTGTCGCAAGGATGAAGTTGTCGATCCTGACTCGCCATCTCCTCAGACGCGCCTTTAGAGAGAAGTGCATCTTTACAGATTATGATCATAATGAAAGAGTTTTTGTTTTTGATTTGTTTTATTTCATTAAGTAGTAATTTAAAGCTTTCTATAGATATATTTATCATGTCTGTGAGGCATGTATTCGCTGAGTTTCGGTTCATTTTTGTGAAGCGCTCCTGTTCAAGACCGAGACAGCAGAAAGCGCATCATGTTTGATTTCTTTATTTTATAAAAGCACAACGTTTTGTTGATATTGTGAGTGCACACAAATAAAAGTAGACCCTTTACAGTTACGAGTGATGTATTACTCTTACCTTTATGAGCAAAAATGATGACGTGTCTACTGAAAAAAATGCAAGTGATCGCGCTGGCGCCTCTCTGTCCTGCAAAGCGCGCTTCAGCTTCCACTCTCCGCACAAACTACTGGATACAGCGCACGTTTATCTAGGTTTAACGTTTAAACATTGTTATATGCTTGAACTGTTTTATATCTCTAGATTTTATTTTAGTCAAGTCATGATGATTTGAGAAGGCTAAATTGATGAAGCATATGCTCACTGTCTGCCGCTGGCCACTTGGTCGTTACTTTAAATGCGTAACGATAATTAGGCTGTGTGAGTACTGCTCATGTCTGAAAATAATATATGAAAAACAAACTTATTTTACATAAACATTAGGCTATAGCTTATATTTATTTAGTACATTTTTAAATTAATGTAAAAACTAAAATGAATTGTAAAACTGAAAGTAATTTTTTTAAATTGTGTTCAGCACGGTGGGCCGCATTTGAATTCGTGACGCCCCGCGGGCTGAGAACCACTGCACTAGACACACTCACGCACACACAGATCATGACGTGTGAACACATTCTCCAGAGACCGAAGCTTGAAGAACACGCTTTCACTTTCCTTTGCACTTTATTTCTATTTATTCATTTTTGCAGAAGAAGCTTTTATAAAGCACTTTTCCCAAACTCAAGCTAAAGTCTTTGAGACATTACACAGAAAAACTCTGTGTGATAATGGTAATGTGTGGCGTCATGTTCCTGCATTCTGAAACCGCTGCATGGAGGACGTATTCAGGTCTGGAGCTGATCCTCTTTCAGCGTGTCTCTGTGCTCAATGTCTGTCTAGGTCACGTTCATACAGACAGAGAAATCAAGACAAACCGAGTTATCGTGAACTGGCTAGTGTTCACTCACTGAAAACACTGAAATTATCACATCAGGTGTCTAATAAAACATAGGGTATATAACAAAGTATTGAGATTAAATTTTGTTATTGACCAAATACTTATTTTCCACCATAATTTGCAAATAAATTCTTTAAAAATCCTACAATGTGATTTTCTGGATTTTTTTTCCTCATTTTGTCTCTCATAGTTGAGGTATACCTATGATGAAAATTACAGGCCTCTCATCTTTTTAAGTGGGAGAACTTGCACAATTGGTGGCTGACTAAATACTTTTTTTCCCCACTGTACATCTGAAGGTTGAGAAATGCACACTTTATATTCTGTGATCCCAGTGAGGCGGATCAGAGCAGTGCTTATTCCTGTACATTTACTCTCCACAGCCTTTGAGATGCATATTATAAAGATAAAAGAGCACTTATTTAGATTGTGTTTTTATTAATAATTGAGTTAACGGTCACTTTTCATTGAAAGATATTTCTCTATGCTGTCTGAGATTAATGAATGGAAGTGTCTGGAGAAGCCTGAGCGTCACATGTTCATGAAATGGGCAGTATAAATGTATTTCTGCTGTGCTCAAGAGTTAATGCTGGATAGAGTTAAGTGATAAAGTAGGTCTTAAAATGTGCATAATATAAACATATATGAATAATGTTGGTACTCTGTTTCCTATATAAGATTATAAATTCACAGTGTGTTGTTTGGGTGTTGATAGTAACATTTGATGAATGAATCTGAAGAGCTTCTGAAGCATGAATGTGTTTGCTGAGCTGAAGAACATGTAATTTCCTGTCACATGTCTCTCACTGATGTGTGCTGTAGAGATCATCCCTCGCTCCATCCTCATGACCACGTTTGAAAGCAGTCATTACCTGCTGTGCGCGCTGGGAGATGGGGCGCTTTTCTATTTCGGACTGGACATTCAGACAGGTGAAAGCAACACACACACGTTCTCTCTCTCTCACACACACTCACTCACTCACTCTCTCTCTCTCTCTCTCT